GGAAACTAACTTGTTTCACGGTTAGGTATTATGTGTAGATATATCGCCACCGCTCGATCGATGGCGGTAGATGATATCTAGCGCTCCCCTCAGAGCCTTCAGAATGAATGAGTCCGTTCATCGGAATCATGAGCCAGCGACTGCTCGAAGAAGGCATGGATCACGCCCCAGGTCTTGCCGTGATAAGATGCGCAGAAAGCTTGTAGGTATCCAGCGCTTAAGCCTAGAGCTGACAGGTGGCATCGTAGACGAATCTGGACTTCACCGTCCACCTCGGTCGCCTTACCGGGAAGCGCTATACTGCCGTCATTGTGCAGAATCACATGGATGGTGTGACGTGAGAATTGGCGTTTAAGTCGAGTATCAAAGGTCGCAATATTAGCTCGTCCCTCGCAGTTTGGTCCAATCGTTCGAATTGTCAATGAGTGGTGCTATCATGTGGCTTTCGATCGCGCGTGTTGGACGAGTTTTCCGGCCATTTAGCCATTTTTTGTCATAAGCGGTCGGAAAAATGTTTGCAATAGGTATGAAGTCCCTGAAACATGTAGTCGAGGTTCAGACGATGTGTCCAAGCCACAAGCACGTCGTCACTAAGGGCACTCCAAGAGGGAAACCCGGTAGGTTAAGTCATGAAGAAGGAGCATCATTTTGACAGGTCCGGCGGACACCGCGGCCCGTTCGTCTGAGCTACTTGAGAGCATCAGAAAAGTTTTGGGGGTTAGCCGGCCTGTTGCGCTTAAGGAAAGCCAAATGTCCTGACAGGCGACGTTGTTTGCCAACGGCACCTCTGGCCGAGCTGTTCCTGCCCTGGCTGTTGTCGCGCCAAGATATGTCTTGACCACTAACGTCATGCCGAGGTGCTGAATGGTCCCTAGGTGAATCCATTACATCGCACACCTGCAAGGAGTTGAGTTCGTTTGACACTCGCGGGAGGAATGAAGGCGGGGGATTCGCTGGTGGTCAAGGCCGGGTCAGGAGGGTCATTAGGTCACCCAGGCGGCTGGAGCAACGTCTGTAACTAAATGGGGGTCGTCTCTTCGCTTCAGAACGGCCATTTGCTGTGCGGTAATATCGACGTGGTGATGTCGCACAGTGCTCTCAAGCAGGAGATATTTCCACTGGAGAGGACGGGCGGGCAATGCCATGCCGTTGCTGGAGATGGACCACCTCCTTCGTCGTCATATCCGTCATGTGTATCCGGCATAAAGACGCTGCTGGTCGACGATGTCCAGTTCTAGCACCGTTACCATTAGGCGTTAAGCAGGGGGAAAGCGCTGTGGTCTGGAATATGCAAAGATCTGCCCGATGGTATATTTAAGAGTGGATGGTATAGCAGGTGGCGATGTTTCACTCGCATTTCGCGCATTTTGTCGCTGGGCAAAGCGTTGGATATGGATCGGGCAGGTCTCCGTTCTTGGTTTTTACTAAAGACTCGGCTTTGGCCGAAGATGTATTAGGCGGGACCTTCCACATCTTCGGTCATGCTTACATCGGCACAGTTGACTAATTTCGAGGTCGACGAGCAGGGTCGGGGAAGATTATTCAAGTTGGAGAGATACAGTTTTTTTGCAAGTGGACCAAAGCTGAATAATGGCGATTGCTGTAGCTCAACACGAGCGGCGGTTGTTTGCCTGATTGTTGCTTGTTCAACGCAATTTGTTAAGAACATTCCGCCGCAGTTAGAACGATCTACTCGCTTGACTTGGTAAATTAGTTTCCCCGAGTGAAAAAGCTTGGCCAAGAGAGGCTGCAGCTCCATGCCTTGTCGTTGGCAGTGTCCTGCGCAAGGACGTAAATGTCCCGGCGTAAGATATTAGCTGCAAGACCGAGGATCTCTCAGCCGCCCCAGTCGTGAACAGGTACATGGACCAACCGCTGATGATGGTCTTTTCGCATATTCTCCAAAACCAAAGAAATTGCTTTGCGAGCGAGCAATCCACGCCAAACATCCCCGCAGGCTGATGATCGTGGCGACACGAGTATCGTGGGGAACATTGCCTGCACAAATGTAGCTGGCCTGCATATCCTTCCTTTATCTGAGCCTTCCTGCAGCTGCCGACAGGAGGTCGTCCTGTCCAACGAGGTCCGATCTTGGCAGAGGTTGCACGATGTCAATGTCGAGACAGTTCCCTGTTTGCTGGCGTCGCTATGTTTCGAAGCCGAAGCAGTTGAGCCAAGTCGTCGACCGAGCAAAAATGTGGGTCGCCCTGTCGATTCGCACCGATGCGGAACTACGGTCTGGAGTTGCATGGCTGGATGGCGCTAGAGAGAAAATTTCGTTTTCGTTGTTTAAATCTTATAACTGGTGCAAAGAGAGAAGAACTGGAGAATTTGCCTGGAAAAGCCCGTAATACGGCCAGCTCCAGCGCGGTTGGTGGCTGGACAAAGCCGCGGTGTTCGATAGAGATGACATTTCCATGGGCTCCGCCTCCCAGAGCGCTAGTTGCTGAACCGGCGGCTCCCCATCGTTGTCTCCGTTCTCATCAAGACTTGTGAGCACATCATACCGGGTCGTTTCTCTCGGCAGGGTAAGTGAGCTGGGGCGTCGCTGTGGCACCATCCCTCGCGTTTGCCGGACCGGAAGTGTAACCCATGCGGATTTTGGTTCCGGCTCTGGGAGGATGGGTGTGGGTACTGGAGCCAGTGCGCTAGATTGCGGCGCAGTCGTAGGCGGTAGGAGTCTCGGGTGCCGTTATGGCCCTGACACCCGAGGCACTGATCTTCAGACGTTGGATGTGGTGGTAAAGTCCGGGTTAGAACTGCTTCTGTCACTTGATTACTGCGACGTCGAAGAGACGCAGCCACTTGGAATTTCATCCAAGACGTCAAAGGGCTTGGCCACATCGTCCAGTGCCATAATAGTCTGTTCTGAAGCAAATTAAACAGCCATACCTCCCAAGTTGCTCAGTGGTCTATCACATCGTGCCATGGTATGGCTTATTGTGCTGCCCTAAAAGATCTGGAGTTGCCGAACGACAGCTGGATGCTTCAGTGAGATAGTAATGCTAAACCAGTCGAGCCGAACAATTCCTCGAAGAAATTGTGGACAGCCGGATGGTCGAAATGTTATCTTCCAGACGTTGGACGTCCGAGACTCTGGTGTGCAGGTATCCATGTCCTTCCGAACATGTGCAACGAGGCTGTGTTTGCTGATAACGCCGAAATCGTACCTATTTCCACCAAGCGAGAAAAATTGTACAGGCAAACCTCGTATTCCATGTTCCGATGGCGTGGATAGACACGCCATTGTTGCGCTGACTTCGCGGAAGCCACATGCTTAATGTGCAATTTGTATGCCATACGTTTTGAATGACACTACCGTCAATTTCAACTCCTTCGCCGTAGTTCGGTCGAAAAGGAACAGGTGAATAGAGTTGGAGACCTCACCGCAGCTCATCGTCTTCATTTTGAGAAGGAGCCCGTACAGGATCTGCCCATTGACGTTAGTGCTATCCGCCGCTGCTGAGATCTCATATTTAATCGCCTTGGTGTTACTCCTGACAGTTGGGACTGTACATTACCCACTGATCCTGAAGCTCAACTCCCCTTCGACTTGAGTCTAGATAGTGCTGTGCAGCCTGAGTAGTTCCAAATGATTGAAGATGTTACATAGATACCGGGGTTGTCGTCTGCCCACCATGTCTTCCTTTGCTATCCCTGAATGATTTTGCAATCATCATCGATGCCGTTCCACAACTCCCGCGTGTCCGTCGGACCGCGCCTCCTGCCGCAAAGAGCTCACGTCCAAATTAGCTCCTGAGGAAAGTACTTGGTCAACTTGAACATGTTGTACTCGTAACTATCTCCCGGCGCTAAGGCGTGTAGTTTCGAGCTAGATAGCTGATCCCCTATTATCTTCGCCGTCCATTGTTTGAGAACGGGTAGCTGTGATCAACGTAGTTTGCTCGTCATACGCTCCAATACAGTATTGAACATCCACGTGGTGTTCAAGAGGTCCTAGCTGATGGTCGTCGCATACACCCCTCCCCCCCCCCCCCCCCCCCCCCCCCCCACAGTAGGTGCTGGTTATTCAGAGTGCAGACTGTCAACTCCTACTCCCCTCGATTTTATATACCAAAGCTTTTCTACTCTAGTTCAAGTGGACTTAGACGTAGCGTTCAAACCAATGTAATACTTTTCCCAACTCTCCTGTTCTTTTCTACATTATATCTTGTCATTGTCCAATGCACCTAAACACCTCTCTCGATTATTTGTTATTAATTTATATGTTATAAGTACGTTATGTTCTGTCAAACCAAACAAAGCTTCTGACAACTTCTTCGACGCTTACACCTCAGTTGTAGTTAACGTGGTGGTCGTGATAGTAGTCGCGTTTCTTGGACTTTGTGCCGTGATGCTCGTCGAGTTAGACTTGACATGGTTGTGGTAAACAACAGTAGTGGACATCTCGTCATTGCCAAGTCTACAACTCGAGAAGGCGGAGGTGTTGTCTAGAGATCCTGTCATGAGTCTGGGCTCGCCTACAACGTCTGTATATACGACTTACATGTGTAAAATGTAAACTGCGAGTACTTATAGCTGCAGATCAAGACGATTTAGTAGATACACGGTGGGAGCTGGGAGCTATTTGGTAAGTTAGCATTGGGCACAAAAGGGCCAAAAAGGCGTGTCTAGCCCACTTGCTGCCATTGTCTGTTTCACTTGCTGCTGTCCCGCCTCTTTCTGTGGCGAGCGAAAGGAGAGAGATAGCGCACAATGGGCTCGTCCCTCGACATTGGCGACATTTGAGCAGATGGAAAGCTGACAATACCGCACGTGGTTTGTCCTGCTACCCAGTTGCCTACAGCCCCACAACTATCGTCTGATTGATATTGTCTGTCGGACAGGAGGAAACTGCTGCAGCAGTGCAGTCGCAGCAGCTGCGTCCAACAACAAGGGCGAGTGATCAGACATTTGAATTGATCAGAGAAGTAGCGCTCCTCGGATTGCGAAGATCTAACGGCCGACGCGACGGACACACACGTTGTTACCTACGACCTTTACTTGGTCTGCACCACACCGGCGGCTATCAGCTTTTCAATCTTGGCCATGATCCCCGGGTTCTGCATGTGACGCTGTGCGGCAACAGGGTCCGACTGGAAATCCATCAGCACGTTCTGCATCACCGGGTCGCGCAAAATCGCGTGTATCTCCGGATCTGCCATTCCGTGCCGCGCACGCTCTTCGTCCGTTTCTCCGCTTTGAATTTTGTTAATGACTGTTCGCAGACCGTCGAGACACTCTTGGTGATTCGGGTCCAGTGATAAACCCTTCTCGTAGCTTTCGCGAGCCTTGTGGAATTCCTTCATGAAGCACTGAATCGCACCCATGCGCGAGTACGCCTTCACATACTGGGGGTCAAGCTCAATGGCCTTCTCGCAATCCTTCTTTGCCTCGTTGAACGACGTCAGCTTCGTGTACGCCGCCGCGCGGTTGGCGTAATACACGGCACACGACGGGTCGCGCTTGATAGCCTCCGTGTAGCGCTCCACGGCTTGAGGAAACTCGCCATTCTTGAAAAACTCGTTGCCTTCATTCTTTGCTGCAAGCGCCTTGTCAAGGTCAATGTACGCTAGCTCCCTGGCCTTGCGCAGCTTCGTCTGCAGCGCCTTGATTGTGCGCTCGACTGTCTTGGAGCGGTTCTCCATCTGCGCGCCTTCGTACGATTCGATAGCTGCGGTCAAGTTTTCCTCTGTCTCGCCCTTCTTCACGCACGCGTTGCCAATACGCACGTACGCCTTGGCAATCAGCGCATAGTCGGCACGATTGGCGCGCCCCACTTCAATCGCCTTCCTACCATCATCATCAACAGCAGCGGCAGAGCAATACAATACGTTTGGCGTCAGCAACCACTACTATTGCAGCATTGCAACGCATCCCTCGTGCAACACTCCTCCTTGTAACGTACTTGCAGTCTTCAATGCAGGCGTCATACTGTCCCATCTCCAGCTTGACCGCAGCCAAGTTGCTATAGTACGACATGTTGTTGGCGTCCTGGTCAATCGCTTCCTGGTAGCACGCAATAGCTTCGGAGAACTGCTTCTGCTTGTACAACGCATTGCCGCGTTGCTTGGCGTCTTCCGCAGCGCGTTTCCTCGCTCGCTCCGTCTTCTCCTCGTCCGTCAAGTCGTCCTCCATTGGACTGGGGTCCGAGTCCATTGTCGTCTGCGACTCGGCTGCTGCTGTTGGTGCAGCACCAGCAGCAGACATGTCCTCATCCATGGCCTCGTCACTGCCGCCCATGTTCACATTGAGCCCCATGAGCTCACCCAGCACTGTCAACACGCGCGGGTCCTTCAAGTGCTCACTCATCGTGGACGGATCGCGCTGGATCGCCTGCAGCGTCTGGACAAACGCCGCGTCGCTCAGCAGCGGCGACAGTCGCGGGTTGGTCGCCATCTTGCCAAACAGGTCGGGGCCAAAGGCATTGGCCAGCGGGTTAAACGACTGGCCACGTGCTGCTGCATCTGCTGCTTGTGCTTGAGCCTGTGCTTTTTCCACCTCGTCGAGCCCGCTGCGACACGCGGCATTGTCCTTGTCCAGCTTCAGGCCCTCTTGGTATGCAGCCACGGCCTCGTCGTAGCGCCTGAGCGCGTGCAGCGCAGCGCCTTTGCGGCTGTAGCCTTTGGCCCAGTCGGGTTTGGCCGCAATGCACGACGCGGCGTCGTCGAGCGCGTGGACGGCGTCGTCCAGCGACAGGTAAGCGGCCGAGCGGTTCGAGTAGAACACGTGGTCGCTCGGGTCGAGGGCTATGGCGTTCGTGTAGCAGTCGACGGCCTCTTGGGCGCGGCCGCTGCTGAGCGCTGCGTTGCCTTTGGCCTTCCAGTCGGCAGCGGTGGGCTATAGAGACACATACATACAGAGAGAGAAACATATACATACAGAGAGAGAGGAAGAGGGAGAGTATAGTTAGTGGGGGGAACAAGCAGAAACAACGCGGCCAGTGGAGTGGGGTGGGCGTACCTCAGTCATGATGAGGTGGGGCGGGTGTTGGGTATTAATTATGAGAGTGCGCTGGCCGCCGATGAAAAAGTGCGAATGACTGGCGAGAGCGGGCACTGCAGGCGACGTTCGGGGACGTTCGAGAAGCTGCGGTTGACCAATCACCGAGCGACAGGAGAAGTGATTGTGGTGAGTGGCTAAAATGCATTGCGGGCAACGGCACCCGTCGAGTGGACGCAGCGGTGCTCGCAATCGAAGCGCAGCGGTGGAGTCGGGCGGTTGAATCGAGTTGGGCTGTCGCGTTGAGACGTGACGGACAATGGGCAGACGGGCTGCGTGACGCGCGGGAGAGGAGGAAAGCGTTCGAAAATCATGGCCGACATCAACTTACACGACGCGATTCGATTATAAAATGGATTAGATCGGGTGGATGTTTAAATTAATACACGACTTCAACCGCGCGAGCCAATCACTGACCAGAGTTGGATCGCCGCCTCAACCTGTGCGGACCGCTTGAGCTCTTTATGGCACGTGGGACCAGCGCAAGTCCGACTTGATGTTCAGCGACTCTATCGCCTGCATCTGCGTATGTGACCTCAACACAATTGCTGACACATGACCAGTGCGATGACTGAAAGACCGATCAGAAGGGCTTAAGGACGATAGAAAAAGAGAGGTCTGCCTCGTAAAGGTCTCTGCGTTCGCAACGCGTACAAAGTGCAGTAATGGCAGGAGTGACGCAAGTGGTATAGCAATCTCGCCCAATGGTCACTTTATTTGCTATTCGCTCGCAAGCCTGTCAGTGTCTGCGCCGCACCGACATGGACACGGTCCCGAACAAGTGGCTTTGCGTCGCACCCGCTTCGTATCCTCTGGTTGACGTCGTCTGGTGCAGATGGTCAACGTGCAAAACGAAGGAGAAGAGTACTTTGCTAACACACACTCGATAGGAACAGTAGACGCTCTAGTCAGATGAGTAACATAGCTCCATTTTTGTGCGCCTTACTACTGCTTATCGCTATTCTCTGCACGACTAAAGCGCTCGCTGTTAGCGTCGGTCCACACGCAGTATTCAGCCTGCTCTGATCGACATAGTATCGACGGCATATACACCATATCACATCGAACAATTCAATTGTGTCCCGAAAACCTGACTGAGTGTCTCCGAAACTTGCTCGTCCATTGACGACCACTGCATCTGCTCCCCGTGGGGCTCCAGATAGCCGAGCGCGATAGCAACCAGCGTTTGCAACCCTAGTACGTCGATGCTGCAGCGATCGTACCAGCTCTCATGACGAAAGTACCCATAACGATGAGCCCGTTCTGTATCACGATCGCAACGCCCGGCCACGTCGACTCCTTGTACTCGTTGCCCACATACGCGTGCGTGAACACGAGCACGGAACTTACCAGTGCAGCCACTGACACAGCCATGCAAAGCACCACGAAGCATCTACAGTACGACAGCAGGTGGACGTCAGATCGGAGACAATCGAAAGACGTCAAGTATAGTGCTATAGCTGCAATGGACAGGCCACGAACCGAGCGCGAGTGGCTACTTCTGAGCCATAGGTAAAGCGAGCGTCTTCTGACAGCATGTTCCAGTCCACTGTATTGACTCTATAGCAATGAACAGCAGATCAGTCCGCTGAGATCACTGCACTGGGCCCCTTTTGTCATTTGTTGCAATACCACACTATGTCTACACATCGCATGACTAACTACTGCTACTAATGTGTACCCACAGGAAGAATGCGAGTGTAGCGACAATGCCGGGCAGGTACTTCACCGCGTCGAAAGAGATGTGCGAGTTGTGGTAGGCCGCAGAGGCTGCCCCGTCTGCCATGATCCACCAGCCTATTCCCAGCAGCACTCCTCCTGCATAGCAACTTGCTTTGCCCGGGTCTACTGCGCCCATTTTGCTATTGACAAGGGAACAAAGTAAAGTGCGACGGCGGCGGTCAACTCGAATTGCATTCGTTATTGCAGTTCGTCGCCCCTGATTGCCCATCGAATCGACCCGCGATAAGGCCCCAATTGAACGATGTGACTTACCCTATGCGGCACATGCTCCTCTGTAATATCGTCTTCTTCCACGTTCTATGTAACTAATGCGGAATTATCTGGTCGGGTACGACGACGTACAACACTACGTAGGTGGGCTGCTGCCACGAACTATCCCACAAGGCCACTATTCACTTCTTGAAATGGTCAAAGATGCTGCCGTTGCACATGTGCGACTGCAAAGTGATGCATTGCTGCGTATTTAGACGAAGAAGCGTAAGAGAAACGACAAACTCGCAAAGCTTGGCTCGCTTGCGTCCACAACAGCAAGCACAAGAATTGCCGGGGATCTTGGACGGAGGGAACACTGAACCGAATGAAACACCCGTCTCAGGCTTTACATTACCTTTGCAGTGTGACTGTACAACGTCTACCAGGACGAGGTGGATGGTACTGCAATATAATAAAGCAAAAGCATCATCCATAAGTGTTTGCAAGATCGTCTTGCCACCTTTCGTCCTCACTCGTTTACATTCGATGTGAACACAAGGGTTGTGAAGCTGCAGACTCGCACACACCTGTCCGAAATCAAGTTCGGTCACAATCGTTTCACCATTTAGGGCGGAAAGGAACGACGTTGGAAGATGTGCGTACAACGGTGAGCGGGCGGAAAAGTCTTCGTCATTGTCGAGAACCTTTTCAGCTATGATCCAAGAATGTGAGGTGTCTTAAATGAGCGTGTAGTAGAACAAGGTTACCTAGCTCGTGTTGCTCGTAACGATGACTGCGTTCTCGTGCTGCCATGCAACGTGAGCTACCACTTATGCGGTAACGATGATGTATTGAGATGTATTCGGTCGTGTGCGGTACTTGGTTCCGAAATGGTAGAAGAATAGGAGAGCACTCAATCAGAGAGTCATCTGAGTCTCGATTAGGGTGAGCCGTATTTCGGTGTGGGAGGGTGCCCAATTAGGGCGCGTTGCTAGAAGAACATCTCGCCATCTCGTTTTTATCTCTTTAGATCGACTAAATCGTCAGACGCGATGAAAAACAATCCTTTCGTGTCTCAGACACCCCTGCCATCGTGATCCTTTTCATCGCTGGTTAGAAATAGAAACCCAAAAGACAGCGTCCCTTCATCCCATCAAGCCATCGACTGACCCTGAAAAAGACCCACGTGCGTCGTCATGGAGCTCTCCAGCGCCGAGAGCGCCTTGCGCACACTCAAGCACCGGCCGAAAGTCCCACAAGGCGCCATCGAGACAGCGCAGGCCATTTCGCATCTCCTCTTCCCTCGGACGTCGCACCTGCGTGCATAGACGACACGACGCGCCGCGAGTTGCTGCAGGAGGAGCTGCAGACGTTACTTTTGTATGGCCGCGAGCGCTGGGAACCGCTGGCGGTGTTTTTTGTCGTCGTGCGGGATATTGTGGGTCGGTCCGTCGACGCGTATCCGGACGAGCCTAAACCTCAGGACGAGGTTTTTTACGGCCAAGCGCTGCAAGTGAACGCACCGCGTTTTGTCACCACGACGCTATCGGATACTTTTGTGACGCAAATTGTCACGCACCCGATCCATCAGTACTTGAGTACTATGAGCCACGCGTGCGCATGGCCATTGCCACGTTGCTCGGAGCGCTGGCCAAGTGGGACCTCGCGTGGGTCGCCCAGACGTTCCTGCCGCACCTCGTGGAGTCGATCGAGTCGAACCTCAGCCGCTCGCCCGAGTTTGAAGACACGGGATTCGACGAGCTGGACGACAACGTGAGCACCAATGGCATGACGACGCCGCCGCTGTCGCCCAGTCAGGAGACGACGCCACGGACGCCATCGACGCCGTATCGACTCGACGACGTGAGTGGCTGGAAAGCCCTCGAGAGTTCGTTGTGCGCGCTCAAGTACGTGATCAAAGCCAGTGGACGAGCGTTCCTGGAGACGACCCAAGCACCAGTCGGAGAGACAGACGCGGAGCACGCGTTTGTCTACTTGACGCCGCCGCTCGTAGCGCTGGTCGCGACCAAGAGCTGTTTCCACATCAATCGCCACGTGCGCGTCGTGGGACTTGACACGGTCAACGTGCTCGCGGACATTGCACCAGTAGGGTTTCTCGAAGCCCATCGCTCGAGCGTGAGCGATATCTTGAACAAGTGCATCAAGCGCGGCCTCGAGGACAATTGGTGCCAAGTGCGCTACGCTGCATCGATTGCAGCGCGCACGTTTCTGCTGAAGCTACAAGATGAGGGACGGAAAGCGTATTTGCCCATTTTGCTCCCGAGATTGTGTCTCAACCGCTACTACATTGCCGAGCGGGTGCAAAAGTACTCGCAAGAGTCGTGGGAACTCATTGTGGGTACCCATGGGCGCGAGTTGGTCGCCACGTATGCCAACGAGATTGTGGACTATTACGTGGAGATGACGAGCCACTGTGTCCGCGAGTCGGCGTGCCAGTGCATTGCTGAGCTCGGAATGAAGGTCGATCCAGCAGCGATTCGCCCGCACGTTGGCCGACTTATGCAGGCTCTGCTCATTTGCTTCTACGATGTATCGAATTTGGTGCGCGATGCGGCGTGCCTGGCGTCGGCGCAGCTTGTGCTTGGTTTTCCAGAAGAATGCCGTCCGTTCCTGAACGAGTTGTATCAGTTGTGGATTGATCATCTCTCGGATGACATTTGGTCTGTACGTGAAGACGCTGCTATTGCTCTTGGTAATGTGATCCGTGCATACGGCCAAGAAGCGCTCGACCGCGTGATCAAGGTCACGGAAGAGTACTTGCCGCTGGCGGAGAAGCAGCCAGCCATGACGCAGTTAGAGTACGACGAGTTGATGCGCTCGGAAAAGCAGCATCTGAGTAAGCAGGCGTTCTCTTGCTGCTCGCTGGAACCTAAACTGTTTGAACGTCACGAGCACCGTAGCAAGGAACCGTGGGAGTACACCGACGGTGCCATTTACATGGTGCGCGAGCTGTGCAGTGTGGCTCCCGACCTTGCTGTGAAGTATCTCCCGCAAGTCGCAGATATCGCAATTCTTCGTCATTTCCCTCAGACAGCCGTGTTGCAGGAAACAATTTGGAAACAACTGCCAATTATGTGCGAGGCGCTGGGCAAGAAAGTGTTCAAGCGGTACCTCGAGCTATTCTTTGATCCTCTGGTCTTCACGCTCCAAGGCACAAGCCGTCTCGCGACGTTCGCTGCACGTGACTGTGTCGCACAAATTAGTAAACAGGTTGGACCTAGCATCTTTTTGGGCCGTCTGGACGCGAATGCAGCTTGGAAGGAGGTTTTGGGTCCCGTCGTGCCGGTGCAGCCGTACATGGTCAAGCAGATGACCTCCTGATGTCCACATGTGGCACATGGAGCTGGCAGCTTAGCATAGCTCGCGTTCATCCACGCACTACACGTGAGCTCACGCTGTTGACGACATGCCATCTCGGAAGGCTACGCCGCTCAGGGGGCATGGCTGGAATACCTATCTGCTCGAGATTGCATCGTCGTGGCCAACGTACAAAGTTGTGTTTGCGAGGCAAACGTCGTGATCATGACAGGTTGATATCGATGCTGTTGTAGCTGTGGAATGAGCGTAAGCTACAAAGAACATCGTGGGGCATATCGTGCAGACCGACACACGTGAACAAGTGATGAGAGTACCGATAGTCAAGGGTCCAGCTCCAATAACAGTCGCGATTGCAAGTATCGGATGAGCATTCTCGATTCGAGTCTACAGCATAGACAGACGTCCTTTGCCTACGATACGTTGAGTGTAGCTGCTTGTTGTACAGGTGACAGACCTCTTAAACTGTCGTTCCTGGATGCGAGGACCTCGATTCCACTCAGACTGCACCTACCGCCTAAGACGACAGCCCATAACTAGACTGTAGCTCGTTCTGTTCATAGACCAACGAGATAAATAAAGCCCCGGATGCGTTCCCAACAACACCTTTGGTTCGACGGTACCAGCTCAATCTCAGTGTATGCGGTTATCCAGGAAGCCAAAGGTAGTGGGTATCATGGAAAAATCGTACCGATCTGTGCCATTGTCAAGCGTGAAGTGTACTGTCAAGTAACGATGGGCTGTGAAGAGCAGCACGACGTAAAGTGAAGTCCGCGTGTCAGCATTTGGCCTCGTTCGTAGTCGAGCGCGATGTCAACTTGGAAGACATGTCACGCGGTATGAGGAAAGTGTCGTGTTGAAGGCAAAGGCCAATGCCGTTGCAGACGTCGCACGATGTATCATCGCGTCTGCTGCCGAGCCTCTCGCGCTTGCCGAGGTCTGTAGTGGTCAACTGCTTCTTGACATGACAGGCACCAAGAGCCGCTTGCATCGAGACTTATTCTATCGAGCACCTCATGAGGTACATCATGCAGCAGCTACCAGAGGTGACAGTGCAAGTAGTAGGCTGCGCAACGAGTTCGATAGCCACGTAGCGTTTCCAGATACGAAGCATACAGAAGTACGCAACATGGCTTCTCCTCGACCTTCTGGACAGCTCTCTCACACAGGATGTGCGCCTACGAGTTGCTGCATTTTCTCAAGTATGTCGTCGCATCCGAAGCGTGCGACGTTCTAGAACATTGCACACTGACGTGTTCACTTCAACGTCAGCAGCGAATGGCCTCACGCGAGTGTCTGCGTGGGCATTTACCGTATCCCCAGCCATGACCAACAACAACAACAACAACAACAACACCAACAACACCTTATCGATCAAGAGACTACGGATCGAGTCGAGGCAACAAACGCATCCGTTGTTGTCGGACATTGTAGCGCTGTTACCATCGGCTTTCACGGCTTTCTTGCCGCCGGAAGACGTACTACGTCTTCTGACCCATTGCAGTCCGTTGCTCTCGCAAGACGTGTGCGATGCCGTTGCAGCTCAAGGACTGGCGACGTTCTACGCTCGCGAAGAACAAGAGGCGCAAGTCGGTTCCGGCTGCATGCGCGACTGGACTCGACTCGTTCTTTGGAACAGTCCCCTCGACCATCTCGACGGCTACAGGTGCAGTCACTCCTACCTCAGCTGCAGAACTCCGTCAACCAATGACCTGTCGCTGCCAACACGTCGCCACTTGTTAGAAGCCCTGTGCGTGGTGCACAAAGGCATCCGGCCACATTGCTTTCGGGTCCTGCAGTTAGACCGCAGCTTCGCACGTCGACAGTATGGCGTACTCCAACCCGTTGTCCTCGCACTTGCCGCGATGGAGGAGCCATCGATGGGTACCACAACTGCAACGGCAACAACTGCAACAACGTCAATGGTCGAAGCCCATTGGAATGGGATTCACGTCGACGTCGCTGGTGACGCGACCCATTGCGTCTTTTGCGACGCCAATGCCCTCAGTATGATTGACGGGCCATTGAACCCGCAGTTCCGTCCAGCCGAGTACGAGTTCCTACTGCGTCAACACTGTCGAGACGTCTATCAGCCACTCAAGCGGTTCATGGCGCGCCACTTGCAACACGTGCGCTACGTGCGCTTTCCCCGCAGATACACCAAAGTCAATGACAGATATACCGAAGTCAATGGCAGTGCAACGGGCGACAACAACAACAACAACAACAACAGCGAGTGGATCGATGTTATTGTGGGGTGCACAACAGGCGGTGTGCTCTGTGGGGTGTACCTGACAGAAGTCCGTCTTCCCCGTGCGTCAGCTGCCCACGGCCTCGCGCCCGGTGCATATCCGTTCGACGCGAGTGCAATCGATCGCACGCGTCTACGCATCACATACTAACGAACAAGTTACGACAACGCTACTTGCAAGGAAGGAACGCTATGCACGTATCGGAGTGGCGTTCATGAGCTCTGTAGCCATGTCAATAAATGTGCGAAATGTAGGCAATTAATACCCGTCAAGTGCATGGTACAGGTCCGTGACGCATAGAGTTGAACCGTAATGCAGTAGATTTTACGACGCGTCCGAGAGCGGCGGACGAAGAAGTCGTGTACTGTTTTAGCGTTTCGCCCACCCTGCGAGCACTAAACGTACCCAAATAAAACCCACATCTCCTCCTTCTGATACTCTCTCTGCTACTGACTGTAGTGAGAGTGTCCGTCGATTCTTCTAGTTGTTGTGCAGTCCCCCCCATCAATCATCGCTGCCCATTTTTCTCTCTCAATACTCATGTCTCAGCCCATGCAGTCGCCCCAGCGCTTCCCTCTCGGCGCGCGCGTGGCCAACCCCGTGGAAGGCCGCACAGGGCGCATCGAGGCCTTCGACGCCCACACGGGACTCTACGCGCTCGTGTACCACGACGGCCACCGAGACGAGCTCCCGGCCGATCAGACCGAAGCGTTTCTGATCCCGTCGGCCGCTGTCTCCTCCTCCTCTGAGGCGATCGAGGACTCAGCGACAGTAAACGACGCAACGAGCAGTGGTGCCGCCGACTCAGATCCGAATCAGTTGCTCGGCCTCACCGTGACGCGGACGTCGACGAGCTACGACGGCAAACGGCTCACGAGCTCCGGACAAGTGACGCAGTACTTTGCCGACCTCAAGCGCTTCCGTGTGCTCTTCTCAGACGGTCTGTTTGCCGACCTGACGCGCGACGAAGTGCAGCAATACGCCGAGCAGGCGGCCGACTCAGATGCCAAATCTGAGTCTGAGTCGGCGACGATGGCGACCACGAAGAACAAGCAGCGCACCGTGCCGCCACCTGAGACCGCATGTCGAGCAACGGACCGACCGCTGCGGACGCAAAAGTTCGACAGTCGTAAAGCGGCGTACGCTGTGTGTCGAGAAGTGCTGCGGATCGTTCTGCATCAGAAGACAATGGCCAAGTGCTGGTCGGACAAGCAGAAGGTCGTAATGCACAACAAGGACCTTCAGGTACGAGGCACTGACTGCTATAGTCGCCGCTATTGCGATTGCTATTGCTGTGTGGGTGTGTGTTGTTGCTGTTGTTTGTCTTGTTGGTGTCTGGCTGGCTGGGGCTATGAAGTCGAGGCGTCTGTGGCTGCTGCCGTGTGTGTGGTCTTTTGTCGAGCTCATTTGTTTTTTTTGTGGTCGTTGTGGTCTTTTGTTGATTTGATGGCAGGCGAAGCGCGCGCTCGAAGCGTTTGTCGAAGCTGATGGACTGAATGCACTTGAGAAGATGCTGGGCATTTGGATCCGTGTCGAGAAGACACAGTCAGCGGCGTTGCTGATCTTGAAGGTGCGTTGTGCGTGGCGACGGAGAGGTTTACGAGGCACTCGAATGCCAGTGATGGGTTGGCGTGGGGTGGAGTGGATTGTGTAGCTGAGATCTCTGGGTGTGCGTGGCTGCGCAGGTTTTGGCCGTGCTGCCGGGCGTGAAGGAAGAGCACTTGCGCAAGACGAACATTGCACGCACGCTGCGAGGGATCGAGAAGCTCAGCCACACGAGCTATCTGGGCGTGGTGTTTGGCGATCTGGCGCACTGGGTCATTCAGAAATGGTCGAGAACGGCAATGAATCGCTCGTTTCATCGGTCGGCGCGGGACTTGGTCTTGGACCAACAGGCCCAAATCCGACGGGCGCGGACGGATGGCAAGGTGCATGTGGCCGCGCACTCAGCTTCAAAGTCGACTCCGCGACAAAAGGAGACGGCGCGACTGGAAGCTATGCGAACGGGGGGCAAACACAAGTGCAGAACCTCAGCAAGACCCGAGCGAAGAAGTTGTGGTGTATTTGCCGCAGTTCAATTCTCTCGGCTCGGAGGATATGCGTCGCCCTGTCCGTCAGACTCAAGTGATTGAGTCTCTGGCAGCAAAGCTCAATCGTGACTATGAAGACTCGGTGCGGAAGCATCAAGACGATGACGCAGAAGGGGAAGACGACGGCGTGGCTGTTGGGCGCGTCACGTTTGGAAAGCCTCGGTTGATGCATTTCAGCCAGCACACTCCCGTAGTTGACCTGTTTTGCACTGCCCGGAGCAAACTGCTGGAGAAGAACGCGAGGAAAAGCATTGACGCTACGGATGCTGCAAGTGGCAAGGCCAACGACGCATTTCCATCAACGTCTTTGTCCATGCCGAACAAGACGCAAGCGCCAAAGAAGACGATTTTGAAAGCGCGGGATGATGTGATCACACCGGCATCGCAGACGATTTGGTAGTCTGGGAAGACACGTGTGGAGACACGCGGAGGATGGATCAATACATGAGCGCACCAATGCAGCTATTGGCTTCTGGACTGCCGACGTAAATGCTTGCTTGCTGCAAGAGCGTGGTAAAATTAGCCAACACTGAATACACCCGCTGTGGCGTTTCCATCTACTGCACAAAGTCGTAGAAGTAGCCGCTGATCCCGTAGCGAATGTAAAAAGCCAGACCGCAGCACAGGGCTTGGAACGCAAGCAGCGCCATGACGAGATGGTCTTCCTTCATGGGTCCAAACACGACGAGAAAGAGATTGATGATCGTGTAGTTGGACCGAGTGGAGTCAGGCGTGATGGTCGACGGCTCCAAGAGACCCGTCTTGGCGTTGAACTTTGGCAGTCGGTGCCGTGGACATGGCACGATCTTGAACAGCTGCGGGATCGAGTACAGGAAGTTGAGGACCTGTGGCAAGAAGAAAAGCAGGAGCGTCTTGCTGAAGTGGCCCAAGATGCCACACACGGCAAAGGTGATGCCAGCGTAGTAGCAAAACGTGTCCCCAACAAAGACGCGCGACGGGTACCAGTTGTGCTTCAACAGGCCGAGCGTCGTTGCCAGGTACGGGACCATAAACATGAGCGAGAGGTAGTGGAAGTTCTCGTTGTCGTGGCCGAGCACGATCTGGTACACATTCTGCACGACCACAGCCGCGCCAATCACGAACGACTGCCCGGCCTCGAGGCCGTTCACGCCCGCGTAAATGTTGATTGCGTTTGTGCAAAAGACCGCCATCATGCCCATGTACAAGTAGTACAAGAGCCCAAGCTCAGCGATCTCGCCGCCTGGACTGAGCGTCACCACAGGACGAAGCACTGTGTGCAGCGCCGTGTCGTCTGCGAACAAAAAGCGCACGGGCTTGGGCAGCACGACAGCCGTGAGGCCGGGGTAGTGGAGCAGCAGTGGCAGCGACGCCAGCGGCGGGAACAGCAGCTTGTGACGCCAGCGAAGGTCCGACAGGTCGTCGGCAAAGCCCAGCACGATCATGGACAGGATGCTGACGATGCCCCACGTCATCATGCGCTTCACATCGGGATCGTCCACGACCGTGAGCACTGTGACGACCAACGAGAGGATGTAGACGGCGCCCGAGACGATGCCGAGAGCTTCGGGACTGCACGCAACACGAGCCACGACAGCCAACCAATTACGTTTCATTCGCCTTTTGTATGCACCACAAGAGGCCGTGCTTTTCAGTCAGATAGCAGTGCACATACATTGGGATATCTCCGGCGGGTGTGCCGCGTTTGCACAGGTCTTTGCCCGACAACTTGGCGGGCAGAACGTGGCGGCAGACGACGGGGATCAGCAGCACAACGGCCGTGTAGCTCGCGGCTGCGATCAGCGAGAGGCGCAGGAGGTACGTCGGGAGGTCGCTCGGGAGCTCCTGGAGCACTGACGCCGACATTATTGTCGAATGGGTTCACGTTGTAGCGGTAACTTACGACTGACTACACGTGGCGGACGTAGGAACCTATGGAAGCGCATGAATAGATTACCGCCGGGAAATCGTGGTGACAACAGCATACACCGTTTTGTAAAACGCAATGCGTGGCGTATAAAGTGGACCCACGCGTCAACGACTCTATTGGGTGCGTGAAAACGACGTGACACATGGTGTGGCATACGGCCGACTTTATTGTGGTGGCACTTCAGTAGTTGTCAGGCGCGACTTGGCGAGCGACGAGGCATCGACACACTTGGACGTAATTGACAGCGGAGGCGACGTGCTGTGCTGTAAAAATGACAGCGTGCTTGCCATTGGCGGTGGCGGGTATCGCTCGTGACCGGTCGGTGACGTTGAACTCAGTCCAGACAGGTTCGACAGCGTGTCGCTCGAGCGGGTCCGCAGCTGTGTGGTCTCGCTTGTTTGCACCGCCACACTGCCGTCCGGAAAAAGGTGCACGTCATTCGACACGATGGTCTTGAGCACGAGCTTGCCCTGACGCTCGTCGAACTCGAGCACGACACACTCGCCATTGTGGAAGTTCTCGAGCAGCTCAAACTCGCTGATGCGGTACTTGAAGTAGCGCGTGAGGATCACGCGGATCGCCACGCCGTGCGTCACGAGCACGTAGTTCTCCTCGGATGACTTTTCAAACATGCGGTAGAGCGACTCGAGGAACGACGACACGCGGTCGTACACGTCGGCAGGCGACTCTCCGCTTGGAAACCGGTAGAAAAACGACCCAAATCGTCGGCGCTGGGCCTTGCACTCGCGAATCTTCACCGGTTCCTGGAAATTGCCAAAGTCCTGTTCTCGGATCCGCGGCTCTTCGGTCCATGGCACGAACTGGCCTTGAAAGTCTAGAGCCTTGAGGATGCCGCCAAACGTCTCGATTGTGCGCACGTACGGCGACACAATAAACCTCTGACACCAGCAACGACCAATTAGGGACTCAGCCGCAAAAACACACACACACAAAACCCTTCTGATCCGCATACAGTACCGTAACTCGAACGCTATCGAACGGCACGTAATATGGTCGCGCACTGCCACGTTCACGGACGTACCATCGTCTCGTGCCCGACAATTTTCCGGATTGAGTGACCAGCTGCCACGGCCTGTTCATAGCCGAGCGCAGTCAAGTGCATGGCGTTGTCCGGCACGTGTCCGTACAGCGACGGGTCGATATTGCCCTCGGACTCGCCATGCCGCACTAAGATCAGTCGCTTTGGGAAGTTCTTCGGTTTCGTCTTGCGGCATAATAGACCCGCAAAGCGCCGCGCGATCTCGCGGGAAGAGCTGCTTTGGCAGCACATGTACACGCTACTGGCGCCCACGAGAAGTCCAAGTGCGGTCCCCGTGAGCGTCGCTGAGACGACGCACGCGAACAGAGTCGTCGTCGTCGTCGTCGCAGTGCACCATCAGTTTGTGCCTGAAGATGGAGACTGACTGTAATTGAGCAACGACCTTTGACTTATAAAGAGCTCTAACGCAGTAAGGTTGGCAGTAGCGCGTTTACCGCAGACTTATTCTGCTCGAAAGGCGACGGAATGACGCTATCGATTCGACCAGCTCATGACGGCGTCTCGACCGGAGGCGATATCGTCCGATTCGGCGGAACGATCTTTTCGACGCTGTAACCGAAAGATACTCTTCGTCCCACAGCCCACAAGCACAAAGTCGGACAATGTTCGATATACTGTCGAAATATTGTGACATTGTGAGCCAGTGACGCAATGTCCGTACACTGCACAACTGAGAAGTCGCATGTCACATGCACATCGTCTTCTGCATATCTTCGGGTCTTCATGACCTGCAAACTCTCACTACAAAGGCTAATGAGATTCACTGTGTGCGATGAGCAAATGCTGAACAAAGCAGTGCACGGAAGAAGTCGTGCGTTTGGACGGCAGCAAAATGCAATGAGATGTCTCATGGCTGCACGCTCAGCGTGAAGAAGCCGACATTACACTCACCACGAGGAGACAGGTTCGTCACGAGCGACAGCATCAGAGCTCGAAGAGACTGCCTGCAAATGACACTCCGTCTCCAGTGATTACGTCGCAGCTGTAGCGAACGAAAGTATTCGGTGTTCCATTGACTGACGTGTGCAGAATGGAGCCGAACCGACGGCAGAAGGTGAACCACTTCATTGAGATTGCTTCAGGCTGGGGCACGTCTTCCCGTCCTTCAGCTACGTTGCCCATACTTCACATCGCAACAAGGTCTAGGCTCGCTGCTGAACCACAAGCATGGCATTTTCTCGTTGGCCCTGCGTACAGTCGTTCGTCACAGCTCGCGATCATTCGAGACTTTTATGATCATCAGGCATCCATTCAGGCAGTACAAACTAAGGCTCACATGTCACCAGACCCGGTGGTTGGTTATAGACGTATCGTGCGTGACAAGCGGAACGAACGCTTGCCTGTGTCGTCCTATACAAATCCATCCGATTCTCTCCTTTCCCTATCTCCAATTGACATATCAAAACCCTCGGACGTGCAACTCACAGGACTCGTGATGTCATAGTCTCGACCAGGAGGCCTGAAAACCTTGTGATAGTTGACTGCTGAACCACTTGCGTGGAGAAAGAACTCCATGATGTTCGTCTTGAGTCCTCGATCAAATGGATTCGACATCCTTCCATTTGTAGTTGGCTTGCTGTGCTCGCTATGCTGCGGGGCACCGGCTGATCCCTGCATCATGTATGCATATCGCCGCCAGTTGACCCGCTCGTTGATGGTAATATTCTCCCCAATATTGTTTAGTTGCTGAGCTGTCATTACAGCGAGAGCCGCAAAGGCCATGCAAGACCACATCAAGACCAAAACTACCAGCAGATGCTTGCTCACGAGCGACGGAATCTCCACCCAGACGTCCATGGCAGATAAGACGTCATATCTGCTACTTCTGTCAGCCCCCTCTCGCTTTGCGTGAAGATTGTGCGTCTCACCGGAGAGAACCAGGATCGCCAGCACAACGTAGATGCCCAGCATGATGCAATGCAAGAGCAAAAATGCAATGAACGAGCGGTGATTGCCGTATCCGACGCACCGGTTCAGCCAGGTGCAGTGATGATCATGCCGAGCGATGCAAATGCCGCATTGAGCGCAGTGCTTCGATCGAATGGGCTTCGCCACAAGGCAAGTGCGGCAAAACTTGTCCGCGTCGGGTGTCTCAGCTTGCGAAGCCATGTCCAGCATTGCCCTCACGTCGTGCTCGTATGTAGCGATTCTACCTGGGTCAATCGGGCACAGAAATGCCACTTTTGCCCACACCACGAGAAAAACCACCTCCATTGCTCCAGTAACGCCTAGAAATGGTACATGGCTGTTCATGAAGTCCTCGTACGTCGGGTCGACCCACAGAACGATATACATCAGCGTGAACAAACTGACCCATGCCATCCAAATACCCATGGCCGACTCAGGTTGTGCCCGCGTCAGCGTGCGGAGCGTCACTTTTGTCTTGTCCTTCGAGCCCCTCCTAGACACTGCATACATTGGACCTTCTTCGATCCGCTTTAGCGACACGTCCATGGTCATGACAACATTTTGCTCGGACGCATGCGTGTCAGTGGAAGTCGTGGATGCTACGCCATGGGCATGTCCACCATGAGAATGTCCTCCATGGCTATGGCCGCTTGGGCGAAATGCAGCTAACGAAGCACATGAGCCAATGAAAATCAACGGTGCCGCGAGCCACCATACGAGCCAGTAACTCGTCGCCAGAACTGCAAACAGTAGTGCCCCATGCAACACTGCCACAATTCCACGCGTCTTCCGCATATGTGTAGGCGGATCGGTTGCGCTCGCCTTGACCGCCAGTATGTCCTCTAACCACACCAAATCGCGCTGCTTGGCCACATCGAGACACTTCTTGCCTTCTGCATCAACTTCTTCAACGTCGAAACCTCTCGTCAGCAAGTACTGCACCATGGGTTTGTACTCACTCATGCAGGCATAGTGCAGCACGTTTCGATATTGCAACGAGTATCCACCCAGACGTGTCATCGTGCCTTTCTCCTGCCGTTCGTCTTGCGTTGGGAACGAACCATCCTTGCGCTGTTGCTCGGTTTCCAACAAAAAGTGCAGCACCCAGAGATGGCCTCGAGCTGCAGCGTGGTGGGCAGCAGTGTTCCCCCGCGCGTCTCGAGCCAACAGATCCACGTGTCTCGACTGCAGCAGCGTGTCCACGATCCGCAAGTTTCCAGCATGCGCTGCTCGTCTGCCAATAGTAAAAAAACAGACAAACAAGCGATAACAACAAAAACAACAACAACAACAACAACAACAGTCGGACGTGTATCAGTCCATCTGTCTATCACTCTGTCGTCTACAGAGCACAGCATAGTCCATCAACTGGCAACGCACATGAGCGGCGTCTCTCCCGCACTGTTCTTCGCGTCCACGAGCGCCTCTTCGCGACCGATGGCGGCCATCTGCTGCATCAGAAAGTGCATTGTGTCGGTCGTATCGTGGCCGCTGGCCGCCGCGCAGTGCACGAGCGAGTTGCCGCTCTTGTCCTTCGCGGGCAGCAACAGGTCCACCGGCTGCGGCTGCGCGGCCATCGCCATCCCCCACAGCAGCACCACCAGCGGGAAGTCGCCATTCGCCGCGGCCTCGAACGCCGTCTGCCCGTCGTAGCTCAGCGCGTCGTTCTCCATCGATCCCGACGACGACGATGACGGGGTGGCCATTAATGGTGTGTACCACGTAACATCCGCGACACCTGCTTGATCCCGTGACACGATACATTCGCGCGACATTCCGCCACTTGACCCCCCCCCCCCACCGTCCACACCCACTTGACCTGTAGCCACTCCCCGCGATGGGTGGAGCGATGGCACTCGGCTGAGGTTCCCTCCCTCGAATGCCCGTCCTCGGCACTTGGCCTCGTCATCGTCATCATCATCGGCCATGACGGAGCTCACGCAGCGCAAAGTCGGCCCGTTCCCGTCGCTGGCGCTCACTGGTGACGCGGCCAAAGGTGTGCACGTGACCGAGTTCGACTCGCGCCCCGTGTGCGCCAATGAGACCCCGCGGCACTACGCGCCACAGGGCGACGCGCTCGTCGCGAGTCGCGGCCGCGCGACGGCCAGTAACTGGTGGGCCGTCAGTCGCGAGCTGCAGGAGATGTTTCTGCCCGCGGGGTACCCCGACAGCGTCAGCGACGACTACGTGCGCTTCCAGCTCTGGGACACGACGCAGGCCATGTGCAGCTACTTGCGCGGGGTCTTAGCGACCCAATCGGTGCTCCAGAGCGTCGGCGTGGGCGACGACAGCGCGACGCCATTGGCCGCCGCGCTGCAGTGGGTGCTGCGCGACGGCTCGGGCATGATCGGCGGCCTGACGTTCGCCTACTTTGTCGGGCCCAAGTTTGACCTCAACGTCAAGCGCTGGCGGCTCTTTGCCGACGTGGCCAACGACGCGGGGCTCACGCTCGACATGATTGCGCCGCTGATTCCCGGCCTAGTGACTGAAGTGCTCTGTCTCTCGAGCATCTGCAAGACCATGTGCGGCGTGGCGTCCGGCGCCACGAGGTCGTCGCTCATGACGCACTTTGCCAAGCGGGACAACATGGCCGACTGTGCGGCCAAAGAGGGCTCGCAGGAGACAGCTGTTCGGCTGCTCGGACTCATTGTCGGCATGTACTTTGCCAACGCCGTGAACGCGTCGCAGTTTGCCGTGTGGGTGGCCTTCCTCGTGCTCACGATCGTGCACGTGTACGCCAACTACAATGCCGTGTCGTGTCTCTGCATTCCCACGGTGAACCTCTTGCGAGGGCTGGTCCTGGTCGAGCGCTTCTTAGCGTCAGGGAACAACGCCACTGGCGTGGACAATGGTGCAGACCAGGTAAAAAATAAGTACTTGCAGCACGGTATACTGCAACCGATGATGATGACGGTGTCTCATGCGCTGATGCTGTTGCTGTCTTTTTGTGCGTGTGTGTTTGTTTGCTTTTGTACCGTGCCAAGTATTCCATTCGCAGCGTGAACCAAAAGGAACCTGTGTTTAGCAACCCTGTGCTGCCAGTGACGTCGCAACTGACAATGGGGTCGCAGCTCCACGAGGCTGTTTCGACCACGCAGGATCTTGAGAAACTGCTGCAAATCTACGCGTACGTTGATTGTGTCGCCGCTTGTAGTTCTTGCGGCTGCTTTTTTACATAGGCTTGCTCCTTGTACTGATCTGCTTTCGCATGCTACGCGTTTGCAGCGAAGAGAAGTTCCTCTTGAATGTGGTAGAAAACCATGTGCACGTCGTGTTCCAAGCAGACGCGCAACCCAACGACGAGCTGCGTGCGTTCTTTCAAGCCGTTCTGGTCCTCCAGGCGCTGGCGTCGGCCCGGGCGCCATCTCCTTCGTCAAGAGGTGGCAATAACGGGCATTTTTATCTGCTCGAATCCGCGCACCATCAAATGGTGGCCGACTTTCCGCTCTTCCTGCAAGTGCTGGAGAACAACGGATGGCGCACGCACATGTACTTGCTCAATACGTCTCCGTGGCGCATCAAGATCGGTGAACGGACCTGAGCAAGTGCAAGTAGCAACGACCGTGTCTCTGCTCGTAGCCACTGGTGACGAAAGAGCACAATTTGCATGTGGACTGACTTGTGTTGCGACCGCTGTCAGCCGTTTTGACTTTATGGCGGTAATTTGTGTTTCAAGTACATGCACTCTGAAGTGGTGCCATTCAATATGAAAAATATTGCACTGTAGTTTGTTGATCCGGTGACCAGGAGATGTGATGGAGAGAGATTCCGTAGCAAGGACGTCGTCTCTCTCATTCTCTCTCTCTCTCTTCCTTATTGACCGACCCCGTCGACAAAAGCAATGGCCCTTGCACTGAGTAGCGACTTGCACGAACGGATTGCACCGAAAAGTACCTGGGCTGCTGACTCGAAGACCCCCTCACAAGTCGTTCAATATGAAAGGAAATTGCTGACATTGGAAAGCTTCTGCAGATGTGCCGACTGTCAAACTGACGATCGGTACGTCTGCAAAACGGTAGCATCGTAGCAGACTTTTGTGCCGACTTGTATGTACCTCCTATCCGAGGTGCTTGTCCTTTACCCATCATTGAGGTCCGCTTCATCGATAACATTTACGAGTTTATCAGGTACGTATGAAACTTCGTGTCATCGAGAGCAATGGTTGGCAAGCTCACCGTTTGCATCTCTATGCTGAGCATCTGACGCCGGGGTGCTGCCCAGCGTTGTAAAAAAGAGCGCCACGATCGTCTTGCTACCAAATGAGACACTGGGGTGGGGCGGTATGAGACGTGGCTGCTGACAACTATGTGCGAGTACTTCCTTTGCCCCATAGAGAGGCAAATGCAAAGCTGATAACCGGCAGCTCAACTGACACTTACTTGACGTACAAGTTTGCACGTGGCTGTCCTGACCTGATAACAAGCGCTTCTCGCCTCTATCGTTCGACTGTAGTCGTACGGACTTACGCGCACCTTCGTCAATGGTGTGATGAACCTTTGCACTGCCTCAGACCAGCTGCTAGCCTGATCGCGTGTACATGAATAAAACGTCTGACGCTGGCTCTGAATGCCGTCGTCGACAACTACACGTTTACTTGCCGTAATTAGTCGGAAAAGAAGACGGGCCTTCAAACACGAGAAGCGATTGTGTCTACTGAATCGGTTCGCTAACAATGCGGTACAAATCTCGTCGGATCTCTATCCGGTGGTATCCGGTGCTGTTGTGCGTACATACGTTCACTTCGAATGTAGCCCTCAATGACACCTCGTTCATATCCGCCACCGGCGTGTACACTCAGTCAAAAGCGACGTGAAGCCAGCATCGGGTCGGATCAGCAAAAGCATACAAACGCCAGCAAACAAACGCTATAAGTCCATTAAGACTTCCAAAACTTTGCAGATAAATAATAGTTCCTACAACCTAATGCCTTCCCACTCAATCGGCACGCGTTCCAGCCACATCACCGCCCCCGATCTTGGCCGCCAGAGCTGCGATTGCTCGTCGTCAAACTGCTGAAACTGCCAAGGCGCTTGAGCTGCTGCGGCGTAAAAGAACCGACAAGCGACTTGGGTGTTGTCCCAAATCGTGAGGCACTGCGGCCACTAGTAGTGGAGCTAACCTCGTGCTCACTCGAATGGCGCTCCAACTGATGCGCAGCTCTTGCATGCGCTTTTGCTTCCTCCTCCTCCGCTTCCTCCTTTTCCTTCTCATAACTCATGAACAAATCCGTCCTGCAGAAGTTGCTCACGAACGCATCGAAATCGTGTGATGACGAAAACCACGACTTGATTTCCTGTCGCTTCGAGTGACCACTGCTGCTTAGACTCTTCTTCTTCTTGCTGCTGCCCGGACCGGTCTTACGCTCTCGCTCTACACATAACACCGACAGCTTGCCGTAAAACTCGCGCATACCGCTCACAAATGTCGCAGCACACTCCAAATCGTAATGCTTTCGCTTGTGTAGGCCATTCGGATCTGAAGACCGCACACGTGGCTGAAGCAATTGGTAGTTACTGTCCGCTTCAGATACAGCGCCTGCCGAAACGGGCGTCACCATCCAACTTGACCCAGAATGGCTTGTACTGAGCGCATCATCAAAACCTCGCGACGAGCCGTCCATCGGATGATGCGTCCTCATAGGTGACCGCATAGACGATACGCCCGATGCGGAGGCCGGCGTTTCCGATCCAAGACTGGACTCCAGGTGCTGCGAAGAGTGTCTGCGACTCATCTTCGCGTGCATGCGATGGCGCTGTCTCGTGACCTTCTCGATCCGTTCTAGGAACTGTCTTCGCCATTTCTTGGGCAGCGGTACAGCGTTTCGGAAAGTCTTATCGGCGGCGAGAGACTCCACGTCCTCCAGATTAACCACCACAACACATGACGAAAGAAGACGGAGATCGTTGCCACACTTCTTGGAAAACGCCAAACAGCTCTGCCACGTCTCGGCCGTAGCACCTAGTAAAAACGGAGGCTCTTCGTCCATAGGCTCTGCTGCAACGCCGGATGTCGTGGCGATGGTCCCACTGCTGCTTTGGCTGTCACTGCTTCCTCGCGATGAGAAGTATGAACTGCCGCTCCCACTACTCCATGCCCGCCAATCGTGCGAAAGTCGAGAGAATGACCGGCGACTCTTTGGTCGAGACGCAAGCTTCGTCTGCGCATGCTGATAAGCAGCATCGTACAGAAATCTCCAAGACGTCACAGGTACGAAAGGCAAGAACGTGTGCTGCCATTGAAACGGCTCAAGCAGCTTCAACAGACTCGTGGTCACCTCCTGAATCTGCGGATACGAGTTACCCACCACCACAACAGAACTCTCCAGCAGCAGCACCCCCAATAGCTTCACCAATAATTTTGCGCCAAGCAATCGCATTGTGCGCAAAACTCCAGCACCAATTGCAGCTTCTTCGGCCTCCATCATATCGTACTCGGACACATACCAATCTGGTCGAGGAATCTCAAGACGCCACGTTTTCGTATCACCCTTCTGCACATGGAAAACCTTGTACTGAAGTTTTCCATGCATTCCAAAATGTACGCGCGCTCCCGGGGCGTAACCGTATCCAATCGAAAGCACAAACTGACCGTCTTGAATCAACGCGTGGGAGTTCATACGTGACACATCGAAATCCAGCATACCGTTAGGGTTCCTAGTGTTCACATCAGATAACGCTTGAGTCCCGCCTGGTGTTACAACCGGAGCCCCAGACGTGTTGTCTCCGCCGTAGTATAGTACAGCAATCTGCTGCGGGTCAAAAGCATCCAGTAACGTTCGGAGGTAGCGCAAATTCCACGACCGAAAATCGGACGTCCCAAACTTTCCTCCTGTATACTTCGACTTTGCATCCCGCCACAGATTGAAGATCCACCATAGTTTCTCAGACTGCACTTCGTCGAAATCACACAAACCAATGGCACCGTTTGAGCTGCTGCCTTCATCAAGTCCAAAGCAATTACTTCGCCGCAATACAAAGTCTTCTCCGGACGGTAACGCCTTCAGATCGCCCAGATCGACAAACTTTACAGACGATGTACGCTTCATCGCGTTCTCATGACTCTCGCCCAAATCGGCGAGACTTCCCAAATCACGTGGAAGCCCATCGGCCTGTCGCGAGAGCGTCGACGTAGCAGTGGGAGACAGACGTTGCGCCACTTCCGGCTGTGGAGCCGAACGTGACCGCTCTCGAGTGTATTGTCGCGGCCTACGTTCGCCACACTTTTTTGCTCCGGTATTGCCGCTAGTCATAGTCCCCTGCTTCCCGGCAGCCACAGACGAGGGCGGCGGGAAGTTCGACCGTTCGCTCAATGAGGCCAAGCCCGTTCGAGGTGTCGCCGAGCTTTTTAGACCGCCAAGCCCACCGCACGAGACAGCGCTCTGCTGGTACGGTGACGAGGTGTTTGACGCCAACAACTCCGATATGGACGACATGGACTGATTCTTCTTGTGACCAGCTCGCTTTCCTCCTGCTACCCCGGCACTCACTGGAGAAGGCGTAGATACCTGCTTTTCTCTCCTACTCAATTGCGGTGACGGCAAAGGAATTGCAGCAGAAAACGACGACGATCTTGAGTTACTGCTGCCCACACTGGAGACAGAGACGCTGGAGCCAGATGGTCCGGCTGCTAATGCTGCTGCCGGGTTCGATATTGATCCACTTGGAGGTAGCCGATCGTGAGACCTTTGCAGTGCTCGAAACGTTCGCAGCTGGTGCACGATGCTGCTCAAACACATTCGGGCACTTAGTAGTTCGTCAAGATGAGCGTGCAAAACTTCTTGAACGTAGTCGGGCACACGCTCAAACTGCTGAATCTGGCAGGCTGTGAAGATCAATTGCATTGTCATCGCTTCAAGCTTCACGATGAACCCTTCACTGAAGTTGAGAATCGGAACCAAGCAAAAACGGCCCTTGTGCGGCCCTCGGGCGTACGGCATCGTAAAACTACTTCCAAGTCCAGACGACTGCAGCACGTTTGCCTCGGCGACATCATGAAACGCCACGCGCCGGAAAAACACACCCTTCATTATACAAACAGCTTCTTCCCAAAACGCTGTCGCTTCTTTCAAGTGCTTCTCGCGCTTATATGCGGAAATGCGCTCCAGCCACACCCAAACCTCACTGCAAAAAATCAGCGTCTGGAGGAAACACGTCGGACTAGCTATTTGTTCTGCCAAATCCAACGCCGACCGAAGCAGTTTTTGCGCCTCCAGCAACGTCTTCCGCGTCTTTTCAATCGAATCGTCACTATTCAGATCATCGAGTTCCAGTACAAAGGATCCTTTTCGGTACCGCTGACGGTGCAAATGCGTCTTCAGCATCTCGTCGTCCTGGTTGCTGCCTAGAGCAAAAAATGATCGCTGGATTGGAGCCAGCATAAAGGCGACAATCTCCAGCAAAACCTTGAGCTGATATAAGCTGTCGTCCAGAAGGCGGTATAGATCAAAGGCAGTCCAAAACGCGGTTTGCGCTTGCTCTTCAGCTTGACCACTATCTTGAACGCACGTTCCATACTGGACCATTCGCTCATGCAGGCGCTGTTTCTCGTCCGTGTTCAGGCCATACAAAGAAACACCCAGGGGCTTAAGCATCTCGTCAACCTGTGCTGGTGATACAACGCTTCCTACAAACGCCACGCCTATCGAACGCCGTCGACGAGTTGCGGTATCGCCGTTGCGAGGGCGATCCAGCTCGCGCTCCTGCTGTGCTCGACAGTATGCCCGAAGCACTTTACCGTCAAGCACAAACAACTGAGCTTGCATCCTGATGTTGTCACGGTCATTCTTAACGTGCGCCAAAGAGAGCCACGCGAACGCGTTACAAAAGTCACCGAGCTTCAAGTGCATCTTCGCGCGACAAACGATATAGCGAAGAGTGAAGGACATGTCGAAACAATAGCGAGCTTCGCTACCCATGCCGCCAAGACTTTTGCCGCCACCACTGCTGTTGGTCCCAGGTCCAGTTCCGCTGCTGCTTCCTAGCCCACTAACTCCTCTTATGTTCTCCTGTAGCCGGTCGCAAAATGTCGTAGCCTCTCTTTCCATCAAAGCAAACATATGACGACACGTGTCAAACATTCGCATCTTCAGCGCATCCTCCGCAAGTAACATGCGCAGTTGTGTGCGCTTTCCACGAGGTAGTCGTGCGCTGTAATTCAAAAGATGTTCGAGGACGCGCAGCCCTTCCAAGCATCGCCCGCTCGAGTGGTATACATCCCGCACGAGCAGATGCAAGTTCATGTCATGGTTCAGCCATGTGTCCACCTCGCTTGCATTTCCTGTACTACGCGACGAGAGGTGGAACGACCCAGAAAGCGAAGACGACACCGAGCTCGACGTAGCTGTCATCACTGTGCCGCTTCGACTGGAATGAACATCACTGCCCGAATAACTTCCGCTGCCGACGGGCGACAGAAAGTGTGGCGGGAGCAGGTTCGTGTGGTCTCGCAAAAAGTGGCACGAAGCTGCCAGGAACTCTTCGGCGCGGGTAAAATTGCCCTCACGAATCCACAGCTTTGTCATCTCCTGTGTCAAGTACACATAAACCGTAATATTGCCTTGTTGCTGAGCAGCACATGTCACTTTCTCGTGGAGCGGAAGCGCGCGCTGCACATCATCAGCCTCCAACGTGAGCTTACACATGAGTCGATCAAGCTTTTCATACTCGCGTCCCTGATTCAAAAATTTAAATAAAGCTCCCGCAGCTTCCAGACACAAAATGCCATAGCGGTACTTGTTGTTCTTTATCAGGATGTTGCCCAGACCTTCGAGCACCTCACGACCTAAATCACACAGGAGCCCGTCATTGCTAAAAGTGCTGAGGTATGCTGCCGGCGCGACTTTTTCACGGCCGCGCAACGATGTCATGTTGCTAACGGTGGCCACATATTTTGCTGACCGCGACTTCAGTAGACGCAATGCTTCGTATGCAAGAGACTCAGCTACTCTCAAGTTACCTTGAGACGCAATCGACGAAGCGTGCGTGCTGGCCAAGACCAGAGCACACTTTGCTTTCACCAGCGGAAACTCTGCAGCGCTTATTCGCTCGTAGAAAAAACGTAGCGCGGACATCCGAGTGCGTGGTGACACACTTAGCAGCTCATACAGCTTTTTGCTAGCGCTCCATCCACCAAGTCCTTTCGGTGAACCACTACGTCCATACCCATTGTCGCAGTAATCGGGATTCGACGAAGACGAGCTGCTACGGCTGTCGCGATTCTGGGGCACTGAACCCACAAGCGTGGGATCCACCGTAGCTTCTTCATCTCCGAACTCAAGCAGCTCTTCAAGCGCAGGCAGCGATATTTCTGCCAACGCACTTTTGCTGTCGTACATACTCTGAATGTCGCAAATAATAAGCGCCTGTACGCATATGGCATCTGATGGTAACGCAAACGGCCTCACATCCTCAACTGGTGGTTCCTGATTGGCACGAGACGACTCGCGTCCCTCATACCGACAGCTGCGACTTTCGGGACTCGTATTCAAGTGCTTGAATAGAGTACCGTAGTAGAGAAGTACTTCAGTCACGATCTGCGGTGCAGAATTGCCTACTACCGGCTCTGGAGACAAGAATGCAGGCAGTTGCTTGCATATTTGCCAACTGTATACGTACTCTCCACTAGCGAAGCCGGCTAAATGGTGGCACACATACCGGAGTTCGATGAGCGCGACAACGTATATATAATGCGGGAAAGCTTCCGCACATTGTCCCAAAATATCCTGAAATTGCTGGATCCAATAAATAGTAGTCTTGTTGCCTTGTGCCGATGACGATGTAGACAGCATCGTAAGCGACAAGTGCGTTGCAAGCGGCACCACAGGCTGAGGGCCATACAAACGCGCGGCCTCCTGTAAAATCTCGATACTGCATCCAACCACAAACTCCGAGTCGCTTTCGGATAGATTCTGAGCCCAGTTCTCATCCGTCATACCCATAGTCGATATCTTTTCGAAATACATCCGCACGAGCTCGTGGTTTTCCTTGTCCTCGCCAAAGTAGCGGTAATGTGTAATCTGCCTATAAAACGTGTTCACAAACTCGCGACCGAACGGAAGCGACACAAGTGCGTGGAACAACCTGCTCTTCAACTGTCTCGGCGGGGGCAAACGATTCCGCTCCGTGTCCATGTAATGCGACACCGTCGCGCAGTCCTGCACCATCAGACCTGCTAGCCATTGCTCATATTTGTTCTCGCTAAAACTGGGAAAGCTAATGTGATCTTGCTCCAGGTTACTAAAAGAGGTCGAAGGTTTAGGATACCGTTCGATCCTGATCGCATACGCCGATGAGTTGGCTACCTCCATAAGTCGCAACTTGTCCACGAGCGAATACTCAACTGCGTTTGACGACGACACCGACGCTTTCGACGTGAAGCTGCCACGAACTCCATCCAAACTCCCACCTGCGCTCGGCCCTGAGTGATAAAAGTCGCCGCGTCTTCGTTGAAAAAGCCGCTCTTCCGACGACCTCTTCGTTCGTCGTCCTGCTGCATCGAGACTGAAAGTCAAATCGCCTCTTCCGTCAACATTGTCTTCATCGTCATCATCATCCACTAACGTCTCTCCATCCAGTACTTTGTGCAAATTCGGGAGGAAGAAATTGCCATTCTCAGCTCTTCGCCTCGTCGAGTCCATACTGTCCGTTGACCCCAGTGTCCTCCTATCGACGTGCTCGTCATCAAAGCCAAACTCAACGTCCCAGTCCTCGTCGCTGTCACCAGCAAGTTCCTGTGCCTCCATCACCTGCGTCCGACCAGCTCTCGACGCGTCGTCAAGCGACACGTGCGAGCTATAAACACCTCTCCTGTCGTCGTCTTCGACACTGCTGCTCGAGACGCCCAATTCACTGCCTCGTCGACCTCGTGGTCCACCAGTAGAAGTGCTGCTGCTGCTGCCGTTGCTGCTGTTGTGCTTCGAGGGCGTGTCCGACAGCACTGCGTGCTCCGTCGTGCTGCTCTCCGGTCTTCTCCGCCGCGCTCGCGGACGAGTTGTGGCCAGAAAGTCGCTGCTCCAGTCCTCCACTTCATCGTCTGTCGACGCCGAGAGGCCAACGACCACTTGATCCTGAGCGGTCGACGACTGAGGAGGAGAGTGGTGATGCGGATGCGGCTGCTGCTGGTGCTGCTGGTGGTGCTGATGGAGGCGGTGCGTCGGGTGAAGAGCACTCGCGTGAGTGGTGTACTGGTGGTGCAGGTGGCTGTACGACGAGGCCACGTGCCGCCGCGCGCCCTGCGACGACGACGACGGAATGGACGCGACGGCTGCCAGCGGCTCGGCGCTGCTGCAGCCACTCGCCGTAGCGGACTCGCTGCGTGCCGACTTGTTCTTGTCTGGTGCGCGCAGCACGCGCTGCATGGAAGAGGACGAAATGGCTGTGTGGCTGGCGCTCCGTCGGTCGGTCAATCTCTACGTCAATCAATGCGGTGCTGGCGAAAAAAGCATAAGGCTCTGCCGCTCGCTCTCCCTCTCTCTCTCACTCTCACTTGGGCTCTTGTCGCTCGGGCCGCTCGCTCGTTCCCAACGATAGCGCGTGTCGTACCTGACGGGCGTCGAAAAACAACACCACCAACGACCGAAAAAAAGAGCCACTGAAACAATCGATCGATCGACCGCACGATCGGTCAATCGGTCCGTCCGTCGCGACTGTCACTGGCGTCTGTGTCGAGTGCGAGAGTGGCCGGTGCGGGGCACTTAATTACGCGTTCCACTGACCGACTGACTGACCGACTGACTGACTGACTGACTGAGACTGAGACTGAGACTGAGTGTGTGTGTGTGTGTGGGTCATTGAGTGAGTGTAAGTAAGTGAAATTTTCAGAGCCCTAACCGTTCTCTGTGCAACGGGTGCATCCCAACTCGGCCTCTCGCACTTGCTCTGGAGCGTGTGATTTGCGAGATGAGGGGACCGCTCGCGCGTCTGAAGGCGCGCGCACGCGCGACGGCCTGCCCAGAATCGCCTAATTATAAAACTATTACCGCACAACGCGATGGGCCAACAGCAGCAGCAGCGAACGCACTTTTTTGCCCAAATACCGACAAAAAGAGCGACAACGGACTGTGACTGACTGACTGACTGACTATTGGAAGAGGCGATTCAAAGACGACAGCAGGAGACGAACGCTTTTTGTAGACGACGTCGTGGACGCCGTGAGGTGAAGACGCTCTGCCTCTTCACCTGCGTCGACTCTACGCGACTCGCATTGCCCACGGACATGTTCGCTTGAAGCGGCAGAATGGCAGAAAAAAGGGGCACTGGCAGACAAAGTGTAAGCAGAAGAGCAGACAAGTGGTTGTGCGCCCAGCGCTTTTTTGCAGCGCCCCTTTGCCAAAATTTCGGCTCTTCTTCTTCTCCTTCTTCTTCTTCTTCTTGCTCGAGAGAGAGAGAGAACAGACGAGCGCCGCGGCGGGCGGTGGGGCGTTGCTGCTTTGTGTGCTGGCGACTTGGGGCCCGTTCGCGCGGGAATAATTTTTCGCCCCGCCCTTTTCTAGCCGCTGGAAATATTTCGGCTGAAATATTTGCAGCGACTATTGCCACACTGTCCGGATCTCGTCGCCGTCCGTCAAGTCAGTCAGTCAGTCAGTCCCTCAGTCAGTCAGTCAGTCACTCACGTCGTCGGTCAGTCGGTCGGTCCATCATCGAGCGGACTTTGTCCGTGTTGCGCGAAAGTGGGAGGAAACACTGTTCGGACTGCTGTTGTCTCGTTATTATCCGCCAATCGCACCGTCTCGTGACACGACCCGATGCAGTAAACACGAGAGAGAAGACCCGCGTGCCACTTTCCGACAACGACATAGGAGCTGTACCGTCGTGCTCCGTCTATGTCCGATTCACGTCGCCGCGTGGCACGCCAAGAGCTCATTTAGGAAGAGCCCTCGTCCGCGTCGCCATGGAGCCGTCTGCGTCGCCGCCCGTGCGCCTCGTCGTGCGCAACGTGTACACGCCGTCCGAGTCGCTTGCGCTCGCGCTGGACCCGCAGACGCTCGTGCGCGACCTGAAGCACCGCCTCAGCGTCGAGTTCCCGTCGCGCCCGTCCGTTGCGAGCCAAAAGCTCATTTTCGGCGGCAAAGTCTGCAGCGACGCAGAGCCACTGGCACACGTGCTGGTGCAGATGCAGAGTCTGCCGCCTGCGGATGCAGACGATACGGACAGTGTCGAGCCCATTGTGCTCCATTTGCTGGTCCACACTTCGGGCGAGGAGAGGATCAAGCGCGTGGAAGCGAAGGTGTCAGCGCCAGTGCAGCTGCAGGAAGCGACAGAGGCACAGGACTCGCCTCGCCCCAGCACCCGCAGTGAACCAGCACGTGAGCCAGCGGACTTTAGTGTGCCGCCTCAGTTTTCACTCAACGAGACGCCGACCGCAGCGCCTTTACATCAGCCGCAGGTGCCGCTCGAGCAGCAGAATGTGTTCCGACAGAGCATGCTCATGCAGCAGCAGATGCTGGTGCTGCAGCAGATCCAGTACCTTCAGTATATGCTGCTACAGCAGCGACACCAGCACGCGGTGAACAATGGTGCAGAGACGCAGCAGCCACATGGAGCTTACTTTGTTCCGCCGTACAGCAATTTATACGGCATGATGCAGCCGCAGATGGCACGTGCACAAGCAGATGCACAGGCAGCACAGGCGCCTGTGAACGCGTCGGTTTCCGCTCACATGCAGCCGCCTGCTACTGCCGCTGCTGTTGCTGCAGCAGTACCGCAAGAGCGGCCGATGCTCGTGGAGATGGTGCGCGAAGCGTTCTCGCTGCTGGACTTTCGACTGGCGCTCAAGATGGCGTTCATGCTGTTTATCATCGGACAGGATACACCCATTGATCGCATCCTGTTGCTGGTACTGTTAGCCTTTGCCTCGTATTTGCACATTACCGGCATTCTCGCTAAGGTCTACGAGATATACAATCGTCGTCGCAGGAGAAATGGCGTTGCAGCAGCAGATGAACAAGCTGCTCCCGATGCTCAAGCTGGACCGGCAGGTGGTGTAAGTGCTGCTATTGCAAGCCGATATGGAGCACTGGTGCGTGTGCTTCACATTTCCGCCGAGCGTGGATTCGTTCATGATGTGAAGTACTTTGTGGTGGGCTTCTTGCTGTCGCTCGTGCCAGCGTGGCACCCGCAGCCCAGCCAGGGCGCCGCGGCTCCCGTGGCAATGCCCGAGGACGTGCCTTTGCAGGAAATGTAAGCTTGTGATTTAGAGTGGATGCTGCGGCACGCGAGTCATGAAGCATGTGGTGTAAAGTACTGGAAGAAATGGCGATCAGGCATTGATTGCTATGGAAGAAAAGGGCTGAAGGGCTTAGAGTGCTCACGTGGATAACGGGCGGCGCTATATTACGTTCATTTTATGCTGTATTGTTGTTCTCTGAACGTGTTGCGCCCGAAGTGAAGTAGTAACGAACTACGAGGGTCAACCGCTTTGGCTTTCTTGAATAGCGAAGGCATTGACAGCAGCACCGGACTTTCGATTGTTTGACCGACGCAACGTCGCTATTCTGCAAACCTCTTGGCATGGCTGTTCCTGTCCGTCTGTACGCAGCCGCTCTAGTTGCTCCGTTGGTTAGTCTGAGGCGTTGACTGCATGCACGGATGGGTAATATGTTCCTGCATGGCCAGGCCGAAGACAGATGTTTGATTGCAAGTGGCATATCGTCGGCCAGTGTCCTGGGACTTTGCTTGCGGTGTGGATATACTACATGCAGCCACATTGCGACAGAAAGCTATTGTCCTAGCGACCTTTTGATCTGCAGGCAGGGTTAATGTGCTGGTCTAGCTAGGGATCGTTTCGAGCTCATGCTCGACAGCTCTAGTGGCACTGAACCTTTCTGGCCGCAGACATGTTTTGCTCTACTTCAGCTGGTGCGCATCACCTCTGCTCTTCGTTGTCCATCTGCTTGCAGATACACCGATTTCAGGATGTTTAGACTGAGCTTTTGCGAACAGAAAATCTGACTATAATGAACAGCTTCGATCGAGTTTTACCATTCGCCGACGCTCCGGCTAAGACGGGGCCGACAATGGTCAGTAAACAATAACACAAGGACCCGCGTGACGAATCAGGAGCTCAGAACGGCAGCTGCAATGTCGTGCGCGCTGTTGATGATGGGCAATTGCAGTTCTTGCGTAAACACTCATCGTGGGTAGAAGAAACCTGCCAGGAGCACTGAAACATACGCCAGCACGAGATGCCCATGTCGACATATTCGGCACGTGTGTGCTCCTGATTACAGACACACTGTCGGCTCTTCCTTCGTCATTGCTATGACATGTCGACAGGTGACTTAACAAACTGTCGCATAACTGCCGCAGGTGTCAACAATGCGTATCCGTCAGCGTTGATGGCAAGGTCCGGACGACCTTTGCTTTCGTAAGCTGTAAGCTTTGGAGCACCGCGCCGTTTCGACATATGAACGCGGCCATCAAAACAAACTAAACTGGTGTACAAGCAAACCTTGTATCGGAGGTATGACAACGTCGTATCGTTAGACTCTCGTATCTGAGCATACACAAGTCATCTCGGGATGCAGTGGCAATTCGAATCTCCACCAATGGTACATCAAACGTCTATGCGCTAGATGGCGCATCGGCCTTTATCGTAACACTGCTGGTTCAAAATGTTTTGGCTTACTATGACTGGCGCTCTTTGCACAAGCTTTACCTGGTCGTCACATCTGCTCTAGAGTTTTGCCTCAAAACGTACATTTCGGTAACTCTTGCGAAGCCGTTCCTCGAGACCATCATATCGACCAACGAATCGTCTATGAATGATGGACGCGCAGTGCGTGATGAGCAGAAAGTTACAGCTCATACTAATTTGTCGATGTACTTCGGAAATCTGTAAGCACAGTCACATTGATGCGATGAGTGGCATCGTAGATAGCTCGCTTCGAAGATTCGAGCAGCTCTCCCGTTAGTCGTCTAGATTCCTCTGCGCTATTATAAACACGCGTTGTCGACTGCATACGCTGTGGTCAGTGTAGGTAGCTTGTTCAGTGTCAATGCAAGCATCGGTGCCCATTTACAGCTAGGACATCGTAGAAAGACTTGAGTCGCTCCCACGTAAAAAATAGAGGCTCATCGTCTTTGGCCGTACCTACGCCTTTGTGACATCTAGCCGGAAGGATTGACGTTGCTCAGTCGACAAGGTCCTGTCGAAGACCAATTTTCTTCTTCCCCGTTACGAACGTCGCTTGATCAAGGGTCTAAGTGGCTGGAATAATAGGCATGTCTTGAGAAAGGGCCATTCACGATTTTTGTTGTTGAACGCCATTGATTGTGTATGCCTATTGATGAACCCGTAGACTCCCAAGGCAATGCCTCATGTACATACCCACTTTCTCGCCAAGAAGCGAGCGATAACACACAAGGACTGCCTACTGAGAGGGCAAGTCTCTATTCAGCAACTTAGAGTCGTGCTACAAAGTCTACCAACATTGTATAACCTAACTTCGCCTACGAAAACGTATGATGACCACTTTCGCACCTCTCGTCGCACACAGATGTCTTTGAAAGATGGCTTTGTCAGCTGATGTCATCGCTTTGATCGACCAATGAGTAGTGCATCGTCAAGTGGTGCGGCCGAATATAACTTTAGGCGATATGATTATCTCAATCCCAAACTTGTTAGTATTACACATCGTGAATCGCCTGCTTCTGCGTCTTTATATTCTCAATGCAATAAACTCACTCGACAATGAACGAACCACCATCCGGCGTGTCGGTATAGGACATCTTTAGTACCAGCCGGCAAAGACTTTCCACAGAGAAAGGTACGATGTTCGTGCTACAAATCTGAGCAAGCCGTGGTGGCAAATAAAGTAGCGCTGGAATGGCAGTCCGAGTAAAGGAGAAAAACTGAAAAGCGTGTTATGTCTCGCGATGGTGCGTTCAGGTGGTTCTAAATCGGTTCATCGATATCACATATCGTGTTCATGTAGCTACTGCAAGAGGGACCTTTGGTCATGATAAACAAAAATAAGCGTCGTCGGACGAGAGAAACCATTGACTACTTGTCACAGCTAT